TCGGAGATGCAGAGGCAATACAGGGATATTTTAACAAGATGCAAGCAAAGAATGACGGGTTTTTCTTTAGCATGGATGTGGACGAAGAATCAAGGCTTAGAAATGTGTTTTGGGTGGACAACAGGTGTCGTCAGTGTTACAAATCCTTTGGTGATGTTGTGACATTTGACACTACATACTTGACTAACAAGTATGAATTGCGGTTTGCTCCTTTCGTAGGTGTAAACCATCATGGGCAATCAGTACTTCTTGGTTGCGGCTTAATTGCACACGAAGATACAGAGTCATTTGTTTGGCTTTTCAAGACATGGCTTCAGTGTATGGATGGGGTTCCACCCCAAGGCATCATTACAGATCAAGATCAAGCCATGGCGAAAGCAATCAGTATAGTGTTTCCAGGCATTAAACATCGTTGGTGTCTTTGGCATATTCTTAACAAATTGCTTGAAAAGTTAGGAGGCAGGTCTGATAAAGTTGAAATCATGGATAAGATAAACGACCTTGTGTATGATGTTCATATTATCACAGAATTTGAGCAAGGCTGGAGAGAAATGATTATGGCTGATGATCTAAATGACAATGATTGGTTGGCTGAGATGTTTTTTTGGAGAAAGAGATGGGTTCCATGTTATCTACGAACTTCTTTTTGGGCAGGTACTTATTTTATGTGTTCTGTTTTTTTAAACTTGAAAATTACTTTCTGTGAGAGTGTTACTCATAGACAGTAATTGTCTATCACGTTTAAATTACTAGCTCAGATTTTGTGTTAAACAGTACTTTTTTCCACAGGTATGTCCTCAACACAGCGTAGTGAAGGCATGAATGCTTTCTTTGATGGCTACGTGCATTCAAAGACAACACTCAAGCAATTTGTTGATCAATACGACCGTGCGCTAAGGAAAAAAGTGGAAATGGAGTTTCAAGCAGATGCTAGCTCCTTTACAAAAATGATCCCATGTGTCACTATGTATGAAATGGAGAAACAACTTCAAGACGTATACACTATTTCCAAATTTAAAGAGTTTCAGACTGAACTTCTTGGGAAAGTATATTGCGACATTATAAGCAACATTGGTGATACTTTTGTAGTTGAGGAGTACGTGTGCATCAAAGGGTTTCGCACGATGAATTCTTATGAAGTCGCCTTTGATCAATGTACACAAGAGGTGGTCTGCACTTGCCATCTTTTTGAGTTTAAAGGGATGATTTGTAGACATTGCATTGTTGTCTTCATTCGAAATGGTGTTAGGTTTTTGCCTGAGAAGTATATCCTAGAGCGATGGAGGCGTGATGTGAAGCGGGCATACACACGGGTCAAAGTAGATTATGATGGCTGGATATGTACTGTCGAACAACAACGGTATGATGACTT